ACTATTTGCTTTAAATCATAAAACAGGAGAGTCACTGGAATGAACCTTAGATGTCCATATAAACTGGAGGCTGTATATAGTTTGTTTTTTTTTCTTTTTAAATAAGATCCTATTGAAAGTTTATCAGTGACCAGAAATTTCCTGCCTCTTTCCGTGACCTGATCTGTTACCAGGTGTCGTTTGATTAATGGTGTCTTCTTATTATTGACTTGTAATTGACTTCTTTGTGACTCCACACATTTCTCCTAATTCTGCCCTCTGGAACAGCTCAGAATAAATATTATCCCTGTGGACTTCCCTGGTGGTGCAGTGGTTAGGAATCTGCCTGCCAATGCAGGGAATACGAGCTCGATCCTTGGTCTGGGAATATCCCACATGCTGCAGAGCAACTAAGCCTGTGCACCACAAGTACCGAGCCTGAGCTCTAGAGCCCGCGAGCCACAACTACTGAGCCCACAAACCACAACTACTGAGCCTGTGCTCTAGAGCCCACGACCCACAACTACTGAGCCCGTGTGCCACAACTACTGAAGCCCGCGCGCCTAGAGCCCGTGCTCCGCAACAAGAGAAGCCACCGCAGTGAGAAGCCTGTGCACCGCAACGAAGAGTAGCCCCTGCTCGCCACAACTAGAGAAAGCCCACACACAGCAACAAAGACCCAACGTAGCCAAAAAAAGAAAACATAAAATGTTTAAAAATATGTATATTATCCCTGTTCCACAGGACCTGTAAATGTGTGAAGACCATTCTCTTGCTTCACCCAAGTAATTTCTTATGCAGGCTGGACGTCCGTGGTTATTTCAGCCTTTACTCACCTGAGCTCAGTGAGGGAGGGGCCTATCTGAACAGCCGCTGCTCTGGGCTCAGCCCCTGGAATAGTACTTGGCATGTGGTTCGTGAGCCCTTGGTTAACATCTGGATCAAGAAGGTGTGAACAAGGAACACACACGTTCATCCCACCTTTCCATCCTGCTGACTGGATTCTGACTCCTGGAAATGAGCCTGTGCTCCTCTGATGATACCCCACAGAGAACACGTGTCTGCTTCTGTGTCTTAACTCCCACAGCTGGCGTGTTCAGCTAAAATTACTCAAGTTTCTGGGGAAGGGTTAAAAGAAGTAAGGATGGACCTGTGCCTGGCATCAGAGACCTCACCCCAAGCAGACATGACCTTGGGCAGGTAGCTGTGCTCTCTGGCTGTACTTTTGTTCAGTTCATGTTGCTTCCTGTCCTAGGGACTGTGGGAGCACAGAGGTGAAAGAACACTAAACCTTCCTGGAGAAGTTAGGGAATGACACAGGAAAGGGTGATGTTTGATCTTGCAGGATGGGTAGGATTTTACCAAGCAGCACGAAAGGGCAGAGCCTTCCTGGCCTAGGACTAGGGCGTGTGAAGAGGTTGGGCAGTTCAGGTGGTACAGCATGGATGGGGGGGGGGGGGGTTGTAGTTTGATGGGACATTTAGGGCTAGTGAGGGAGAAAAGGGCCCGCCACAGAGAACCCTAAATCCATGCTGAGGACTTGGTCCATTTTCCTGTGAGTACTGGGAGATCCGCAGAGAATTCTAGTCAAGAAGTGCAGCTTACGTGTTTTACAGAGATGATGCTGATGTGGACACTCGTCGGAGTGAGAAAGTCCGGAGGCAGAGAAGCCAAGCCCGAGCCAAGGCCGTGGGATCTGGAGGGGTGGGGGCTAGAGAAACGTCTAGGAGGGGATTTACAGGCTGTAGTAACTGATTGGATGTTAAGAGGACAGGGTCTAGAAAGATACTTGCGTTACTTGTCCCTAGATGTCGTGTATGTTTTTAATTAACAAGCAGATAATCCTTACCGTGTGTCAGGCACTGTTTTCTGTGTTTTACAAATATGGACTCATTTAATTCTCGTAATAACCTATGGTAGGCACTATTTAGTCCCCACTGTACAGATGAAGAGACCGAGATACTGAAAGGTTAAGAAGCCACCTGTGAGCAGTGGAGCGGGGTCTGAACCTAGGCAGTCTGGCTGCAGAAACCATGCTGTTAACCACAGTTGGGAATATTCACTTGAGGTTGGGGAAGACGTAGGGGCAGAGGACAGAGTGATCTGTTCATTCCAGCCCAGCACTGAGCCTGTCGTGAGCCAACAATGGGATGGACCATGGGGTAAAACGAGTAGGTGTGCTCTGTGCCCTGGAAGTGCCCAGGGGGCCATTGAAACGGTGGAGACTGGGAAAGACAGAGAAGCAACAAAGGGTGACCTACATTTAAGCTAATCATAATTTTAAATTTTTATTAGTATTTTTAATTTTAAAAAATGGATGTATAGTTGATTTACAGTGTTGTGTTAATTACTGCTGAACAGGGAATTCCCTGCTGGTCCAGTGGTTAGGACTCTGTGCTTTCATTGCTGAAGATGTGGGTTCAGTCCCTGGTCGGGGAACTAAGATCCTGCAAGCCGTGCGACGTGGCTAAAAGAAAAAAAAAGTTACTGCTGTACAGCAAAGTGATTCAGTTATGTGTGTGTACATTCTCTTTTTTCATATTCTTTTCCATTATGGTTTATCATAGGCTATTGAGTATAATTCCCTGTGCTCTACGGTAGGACCTTGTTGTCTGTCCATTCTATATATAACAGTTTGCATCTGCTGACCCCAGACTCCCAATCCTCCCCTCCCCCTCGGCCACTGAAAGTCTGTTTTCTATGTCTGTGGGTCTTTTTCTGTTTCATAGCTAAGTTCATTTGTGTCATATTTTAGATTCCACACGTAAGTGTTATCGTATGGTATTTGTCTTTCTTTTTCTGACTTACTTCACTTAGTATGATAATCTCTAGTTGCACCTAATCATAATTTTTTAAGTCATTAGAGAAGACTAAGAAGTACCAAGCTGTATAGAGGAAAACTAGGTGAGGGGCTACCAAAGTCAGTAAAGAGGTTCAAGAACAATTGAGAGGTCAGCGGTGCCTCTATAACAGGTGTCATTGGTGAAAACCAGTTTAGCACTGGTGAGGGGGTCAGAAACCGTAGTGCTTTTATTCATGTACAATAAGTATGGGTAGAATTGAAATGGAAATCCTTAAGATCTCCAGAAGACAAAGGGGGCAAACAGTGTAAAAGAAAGCAAATACAAAAGAGCCATCAACATAAACATATGGAAAATATTCAGACCTAGTATTCAAAAGGTGGAAATTAAAGATACAATCTAAATTTAAAACAAGTTAAAAGTGCAGTGTTTATAGACATCTACTTCTGTCCAAGATGGAGTAACAGGGAGGGGATTTACCTATCCTCTTGCCCAAACAAACAGCAACAACAACAAAAAGACAAAAGACATGAAACAATCGTTTAAAGACATTCGATATCAGACCACAAAGGACAGTTATCCCTGAGAGATGGAAAACCAAGCAGGTTAGCCCTCTGACTGCCCCGGTTTATTGCCTTGAGTGGGTTTCCAGGTTACAGCAGAGGTAGGGGAAGCTGAGAGGGGCTGAGCAGACCCTGAGTCCAGAATGCAGAGCTGAGGCTGGGGAGGGCAGGGCAGCAGCCTTCACAGAGTGCAGAGGGTGCCCTTGAGTGATCACACAAGGCACACATGGGGGAGGAAGCTGCAGGGAACAGCATGTGGCGTTCACATGGGGGTTATGGCCATTACTGCTGGCCAGGCTGGAAAGCTCTTCTGATTCCTGGAGCATTGGGAGTGGAGCTCTATGAAGCACTGAAAGGAAAAATACCTGTCTGCTTAGGATCCTATATTTGGCAAAAGTATATTTCAACAACAAAGGCAAGACAACCTCCAGAATGGGAGAAAATATTTGGAAGTTATTTTATCTGATAAGGGTTTACTATCCAGAATAGATAAGGAACTACAGTTCAACAACTAAAAGACAACTGACCCGGGCTTCCCTGGTGGCGCAGTGATTGAGAGTCCGCCTGCCGATGCAGGGGACACGGGTTCGAGCCCCGGTCCGGGAAGATCCCACATGCCGCGGAGCGGCTGGGCCCGTGAGCCATGGCCGCTGAGCCTGCGCGTCCGGAGCCTGTGCTCCGCAACGGGAGAGGCCACAACAGTGAGAGGCCCCCGAACCCAAAAAAAAAAAAAAAAAAAAGACAATGACCCAATTTAAAAATAGGTAAAGTACTTGAACATACATTTCTCCAAAGAAGATACACAAATGGCCAGTAAGCATATGAAAATAATGCAAATCAAAAGCACAGTGAGATACCACTTTACCCCTACTAAGATGGCTATATAATTTAAAAGATGGCACAAGTGTTGGCAAGCATGGGGGGAAGTTGGAACCCTTGTACATTACTTGTGTGAAAGTAAAATGATGCAGCCACTATGGAAAACAGTTTGGTGGGTCCTCAAAAAGCTAAACATAAAATTACAGTATGAGCCAGCAATTCCATTCCTAGGTATACCCGTCAGCAGATGAGTGGATAAACAAAATGTGGTGGGTCCATACAGCGATTATTATTCAGCCATTAGAGTGAACTACTGATACAGGCTACAGCATGCATGAACCTTGAAAACATGATGCTGAGTGAAATAAGCCTGACACGAAAGGGCAAATATCGTATGATTCCCTTTTAACCAATAAGGGAAAAGAATCTGAAAAAGAATATATATATATACATATATATATATATGTATATATATGTAAAACTGAGTCACTTTGCTGTACACCTGGAACTACCACAACATTGTAAATCAGCCATACTTCAGTAATAAAAGGGATTTTTAAAAAATAAGAGGATTTGATGTAGTATTAGAACCATTCAGTTCCAAATGAAATTTAGCATGGAACTCTAGAGGTTGCAGGGTGTGGGAGAGGCAGTCTTCGGAGCTCTTTTCTTCCTACTCTTGGGGATTTCGGGCACTATAGGTGTATTTCTGGAACAGTCAGGTGTCGTCTGGTTGTGTGGATATATAGGTACAGCAGTTGGTCTGAGGGAATCTAGACTTGCGATTAATGAGAACCAGGTCACAGCACCTCTCCTCAAGTTTCTGCCTTTTCTGCAGCTTCACCTGCTTGGGATCTCCTGTTACTCAGGAAGCGTCAGGAACGAGGAGGGCATGGAGGCCGAGTTGCTAACTGCCCGGTCCCACGTAAGTTGGGCTGCCTTCATTCTTTTTTGTTTTCCGACTGAGAATCCCTTTTTAGTTAAGGGTTCTTAAGGGGTCCGTATCTCAGACACTTCCTCCAATAGACTAGCACTGTTTGTTTGCTTTATTTATAGCTGTAGTTTTATTTCCTTTCATATCAAAGAAACACAACTTGAACAGAAATGTGTGAAATATTGAGGACTCTGATGAGATGCTCTTTCGTCTACAATGAGGAATGACTGAGCACACAGCAAGCTTTCTCCCTTCAAGATGATGACAGAACTGGGATGTTGGTGCCTTTCTGAGGGATTCTCTGGTCCCTGGTGGTCTTGGGTGTGGGGCTGGTGTGTTAATTCCTCCCTGGGGATTGCCTGTGGAGGAGCTTGGGGACAAGTTAGGTAATTATCCAGGAGTAACTGCAACCAAGACAGGAAGAGCCCCGGGAGAGGGTGGGTCCTCTGGGGACAGAGAGATGGGTGGGGGACCCTCCTTCAGCCTCACTCAGCTTCGCCCCTAGGTGATCCCTCATACTTTACTTCTACGTGTATTCAAAACCCCACCAGAAAGCATAGTCTTTGCTTTTGGCTGTCCTACATATTTTGAAGGATTTATGAGAAGAAAAGTAGTCTATTGTATTTACCCAGATATTTACCCTTTTTCTTTCTCATTCATCATTCCTGAGATTTAAAGTTTCTCTCTTGTATCATTTCCCTTCTGCCTGAAGAATTACCTTTAGCATACTTTTAGAGCAGGTCTGCTGGTAACAAATCCTGTTTGTTTAACTTTCTTTGAGAATGTATTTTTCATCGTTCCTGAAAGATATTTTCACCTAATAATTGAAATTCTGGCATGACAGTTCTTTTCTTTCGGCATTAAAAAATCCCCACTATTCCACTGTCGTTTTCCCTTCACCGTCTTTGACGAGAAACACTCAGTTATTCAAATGGGTTTTTTTCTGTGTGTCATCTATAGATCCTTTTGATGTGTCTAATAAAGGCCTTGCTTCTGTATCTATTGTTTTATTACTATTAAAATATAATCTCTTCTCTATTTTTTAAATGCCTACCAATATTTAGGAAAAATGTTTTGGAAATTTATTTTAGGTCATAAAACATGGCTATGTTGGTCTCTTAAGCGTAAAGTTGCACTTGAGCTCAAGACTGTTTTTCCCTTCTCCTGCCTTGTATTAGGTTCTAATTATTTTACATAAGTGTAGATTAACTGATTCTCCTTGCTTTAGCTGTTTACAACATACTTGATTTAAATGAAAGTGTTTCTGACAGTTTCTAAACTGAAAGCATAACATGGAACAGGTTTCTAGACAGTACGTACTTAATACCATTCCTTTTAGGACTTGTCCAGAATTCAACGTAAATACTACTCACTCCTAGAATGAGTTCTATTCTATCCTGTTTCCCTACCCAAGTGCTATCTGCCTAATCTCTCTTTCTATCAATATTCGGGAAAGGGAGGGCAGAGATATACATCAGGCTCAAATTTGCTTTGTGTTGTAGACACTGGTGACCTTCAAGGACATACTTGTGAACTTCACGAGGGAGGAGTGGAAGCTGCTGGACCCTGCTCAGCAGCTCATGTACAAAGATGTGATGTTGGAGAACTACAGAAACCTGGTGTCCTTGGGTGAGATGGACCTCTGTTTGGGGGTTTTGGGTTCCTCATTGATCAAAAGGTATGGAGAGCCTGAAGCATACATTGGAGTGTGAGCTTGGGGCCAGGGACCTAATTTCTTTGGGGCGTGGAACAGGGTTTTCGTACTCCTTCTGCTTTTATGAAAAAAAAAATTGTTTTGGTTTGTTGAATTTTAAGAAATGTGTATTTTGCTGCCTCTGTAGCCCTACCTTGTCTACTCTTCAGAGCCCCCCAGGACTATTGAAGGGGTCCGGGGTTGGGGGTGAACTGGGATGCTTCTTTGTGTCCAGCCCAGAGCTCCCAACCCTCGCCCAGTACTTTATCTTTCACTGGGAACAGGGCATCAGCTTCCCAAGCCAGAGGTGATCCTGCAGTTGGAGAAGGGGGAGGAGCCATGGCTGTTGGAGAGAGGGATTCACCAAGAGACCTATCCAGGTGAGAACCAGACCACCCGTTTGGGGCAGGAGTCCCTGGCGAGAGTGGTCACTAGTTCTCTGCATTTCAAATGTGAGGACTGGGTTTATTTAGCTTCGGTTTCCCCACTGCTAGTCTGCTTTCTAGTCTTGTCACACTTCCATTTGCATTCATTAAAATTATCTTTCTGATGTTTCCATCTCTGGGCTATTGTATAAAGAAGATGTGGCACATATATACAATGGAATATTACTCAGCCATAAAAAGAAACGAAATTGAGCTATTTGTAATGAGGTAGATAGACCTAGAGTCTGTCATACAGAGTGAAGTAAGTCAGAAAGAAAAAGACAAATACCGTATGCTAACACATATATAAGGAATTTAAGAAGAAAAAAAAATGTCATGAAGAACCTAGGGGTAAGACAGGAATAAAGACACAGACCTACTGGAGAACGGACTTGAGGATATGGGGAGGGGGAAGGGTAAGCTGTGACAGGGCGAGAGAGAGTCATGGATATATACACACTAACAAACGTAAGGTAGATAGCTAGTGGGAAGCAGCCGCATGGCACAGGGATATCGGCTCGGTGCTTTGTGACCGCCTGGAGGGGTGGGATAGGGAGGGTGGGAGGGTGGGAGACGCAAGAGGGAAGAGATATGGGAACATATGTATATGTATAACTGATTCACTTTGTTATAAAGCAGAAACTAACACACCATTGTAAAGCAATTATACCCCAATAAAGATGTTAAAAAAAAAATTATCTTTCTGTTTCAGTGCTTGGTTCCAGCCCTGTTCATTTTGCTTTCCTGATTATTACTACTAACTCAAGCATCTGTGTCCTCTTATCTTTCATAGAATTATTCTATTACCTTTGCCTGTCTTTTCCCTGTCCTGTGTCCCTTCCCACAGCCTTTGATCTGCTGCTCTGTGTAAGCTCTGCCATGGGACCCCATCGCCTGCCCCTGCTCTGAGTTTGTTTTTTGCTGGTTAGCAAATTGCAGCAGAGGCGTCACCAATCCCTGTTGACTTAACCCTCCTTCCTTTCCAGAATTGCTGCTCTCAAAAACACCTGTTTTCTCATAATCTAGCTCTTTATTTAATTTTTTTTCATTTTAATCTTAATATCTGTAAAATGCAGACCACTGTGTGGATTTCTAGCATCAGTCCTTTCCCCAGCTCCCCTGTGTAGAGAAGATCAGCCTTCTGGGTTAAGAAATGAAGGCAGTGCTTCATCTTCCTCCTGTTCTGTTCTCTCTGAGCGATGCTGTCTCTGACCCCTGTCTCTAAGCTCAGTGCTCTGATGTCTTTCTCCTTAGCCCAGCCATCTGGGGGGTTGCTGTCTGGACCTTGCTGCTGATGGCCAACTCCATGTGCTAGTGACCCACGTTGGCTCCTGGGGACACATGGCCTCCCAGGCCCGGTGCAGTCTAGGCACCTCGTAATCCTCTGGCACTCACGTCCACTCATGTCAGGCATTTCCCTGAACCTCAGGCTGTGAGTGTGATGTGAATGAAGTCGTTAGCGTCTCAGTCGTCCTCTATGTTTCACCTCCAGTCCTTTTTTGTGAAACCTTTTGGCTTATTAAGTACAGGTTCCTTCTTTTTCTGAGCTGCCACTTTGTTTCTACTTTTAAATGTCATAAATTTTGTTTTTGACTTTTTTTACATTGGGCCTCGTAGGTGACTGTAGCCAGTACCTGTCTCAGGGCAGGTCCCTCAGACACTGGGAAGTACTTGATCAGTCAGCTGCTTTGGGGCCATGGCAGGAAAGACTGTTCTCTGTTTCCTTTCATTTCCCTATTTCTTCCTGTCCTTATTTTTTCCATTCATGTGTTCAGTTTAGCAGGCTTTCCTGGATGTCTGTTGACAAGTATCCAAAAATAACTGACTATAACCAGCAGTTTAAATTTTTAATGGGAAATTTGTTGTCAAAAGAAATACTGAAATTCCATGTATGTGCTTAATCGACTGGAATTTAAGGGAATCTACAAGCTCTGGGAACTTCATTATCAAAATGAAAAGTATAATGGGTGATGGCTTTAAAAACTCAGTTGATGAATTGATTAATGGATGCTGCAGATTTTGAAGATAACGCACCTGAGTTATCTTCCACGTTACAGAACACATGGAAGATTTTTAGGACTTTAATGCATCCGTGTTTTCTGTCGCTTTCTCCAGACTTGTCTTTCCATACCCAGCCCTACCCCTCATCACACATGTTCATTCTAGAATTTTCCAGTTGGCATTAGTAGTTTGAAAAACTTCTCCATGGGATTCTGATGCACTGGGTGGAGGAGAGGGAAAAGATGGTATATGTCCTGTCAAAACTCATCAAGGTAGAGGTGTGTGTATATGTAATGGAGTATTATTTATCCTTAAAAAGGAAGGAAATACTGCAGTTTGCTACAACGTAGATGAACTTTGAGGACATTATGCTGGGTGAAATAAGCTAGTCTCAGAAGGACAAATAGTGTATGATTCCACGTATGTAAGGTACTTGAAGTAGCCAAAATTATAAAGACACAAAGTATAATGGTGATTGCTGGGAGCTGGGTTGAGAGGAGATTGGGTCCTTATTGTTTAATAGGTATGGAGTTTCAGTTTTATAAGATGAAAATGGATGGTGGTGATGGCTGTACAACAATGTGAATATAATTAATACTTGAATTGTGCACTTAAAAATGGTTAAGATGGTGCATTTTACATTATATGTATTGTTTTAATCACAATTTTTTAAAAAAGAAATCAGGGTGGGGAAGAAACTAGCAACTAACAGAGCTGGGAATGAAAATGAGGACTGGGAAAGGGGTTTGGGTTGTACAAAGGAGGCAGTTAGGAGCCTGGCACAGGGATTGTTTACCAGGGATTATTTCCTGTGGCAGCCAAAACAAAGTTCCACAAACTGGGTGGCTTAAATCAACACATTTATTGTCTCACAGTTCTAGAGGTCAGAAGTCTCTAGAACTGTGTGGGCAGGCCGTGTGCCCTCTGGGGCTCCAGGGGAGGGTCCTTCCCGCCTCTTCCAGCTCTGGTGCCCCAGGTGCCCCTTGGCTTGTAGACACATCACCTCACCCAGCCTCCATCTTCACATGGCCGCCTCCCCTGTGTGTCTGCCTCTGTATCTTCTCTCCTTTTCTTGTAAGGACACCAGTCAGACTGGATTAGGGCCCTCCTACACCAGTACTACTGCATCTTAACTAATTACATCTGCAATGGTCCTATTTCCAAATAAGGTCATAACCTGTGATATTGGGGGTTAAGACTTCAGCATATCTCCTCTGGGGAACACAATTCACCCCATACACCAAGTAAGAGAAGAGTATTGCCCCACTTATGTAGGAAGAGGTGGTATTGGGTAAATAGTGGATCTTTTTCTAGACTTCAGAACCAAACATTTTAGCTGAAAGGCATTGAGAAACAAACGCAGGCTCTGAACGAGGGAAAATAATTTGCAGTAATACACATGCATATAAACAGAAGGGCGAAAAGTCCAGGAGAATGTGAGTTAGGGTTCAGGTTCTGAGTTAGTGTCCTGCATTAGTCCTGTCAGTTTTAATTAAGTCTTGGTGTCTCAGAGCAAAGGAATCAAAGTAGAAGATGGGGATGATGATACCAGTGAGCATTACAAACCGTACTGCTTCGGTGATGAGCTCCCACCTTATATGATACTTAGGATAACCTTATAGGTCCTTAAATGACAGAGAAGCAATATGATTTTTGAAAACTTTAGCAACTTGTCTAAATTCACCACTAGTAGTAGCAAAGTGTAGGTTAGAACCTGTATCTGGGTCCCTTCTGTGCAGTCACCCTGCCAGCCGACCCCATGGCCTTTCTGAGAGGTTTGCTCTGTCAGTCACATGTAATCATTCTGTACTGCTTTGGTGGCATAGATAGAAGCCATTTCCTGCCACATGGCTGCTTTCATGGTTTAGGAATGTGAAGAGTTCATGTCGGGGAAGGGCCTGGCAGCAAGGAGACACGTCAGGTTCTTGTATCATTAATAGTCGGGTTAGATCGTGGCAGTGCAGCGCTTTCTGGGTTTCCTTAATTGCCACCCCAGCACTGAATATCCTGATCCCATGTGTCATAGCCAGTCCTGTGGCTTCTCTTACCCTCTTTGCTCCTTTTATGTGCATATTATAGCCCGGCCCATTTCCTGTTAATGGGCCTTCCTTCCCTTTCTCACTCTCTGTCAAGGTTACAAAACCATATTTAAAAGCAACTCTGCATGACTTACATACTTTTTTCTACATATATCCTACCATTCTGACCTTAATACTTTTTTTAGTAATGTAAAGCTTTTCCATTTCTTTCAGATTTGGAGACTGCAGTTGAAGTTAAATCATCAGCTTCCAGTAAGAGCATTTCTAAAGATAAACACTCCTGTGATGTTAAAATGAAAAGAATGGCAAAGAGTGATCTCTGGTATTTGTCACTGGAAGAAGTCTGGACACGTGAAGGTCAGTTGGACAGGCCCCAGGACAGCCAGGAGAGACATCTGAGGCAAGTGGCATTCACCCAAAAGAAAGCACTTCCTCAGGAGAGAGTCTGTGAAAATGGGAAATACAGGGGAAACTGTCTTCTTCCTGCTCAGCTAGTACTGCGAGAGTATTTCCATAAACATGACTCACATCCTAAAAGTTTGAAACATGATTTGGTTTTCAGTGGTCATCAGGAAAGTTATGCAAGCAACAGTAATGACTCTGGTCAAACCTTCTGTCAAAACATTCACCTTCTTCAATTTGCAAGAACTCAAGCAGGAGAAAAATCATACAGATGCCCTGATAACAACTCTCTTACTCATGGTACATCCCTTGGTATATCAAAGGGTACACATAGAGAGAAACCCTATGAATGTAAGGAATGTGGAAAATTCTTCAGCTGGCGCTCTAATCTTACCAGGCACCGGCTTATTCATACTGGAGAAAAACCCTATGAATGTAAAGAATGTGGAAAATCTTTCAGCCGGAGTTCTCACCTTATTGGACATCAAAAGACTCATACTGGTGAGGAACCCTATGAATGTAAAGAATGTGGGAAGTCCTTCAGCTGGTTCTCTCACCTTGTTACCCATCAGAGGACTCACACAGGAGACAAACTGTACACGTGTAATCAGTGTGGAAAGTCTTTTGTTCACAGCTCCAGGCTTATTCGGCACCAGAGAACTCATACTGGAGAGAAACCTTATGAGTGTGCCGAATGTGGGAAGTCTTTCAGACAGAGCACGCATCTCATTCTGCACCAGAGAACCCATGTTAGGGTGCGGCCCTACGAATGCAGTGACTGCGGGAAATCTTACAGCCAGAGGTCTCACCTTGTCGTCCATCATAGAACTCACACTGGGCTGAAGCCCTTTGAGTGCAAAGATTGCGGAAAATGCTTTAGTCGAAGCTCTCACCTTTTCTCACATCAGAGAACCCATACTGGGGAGAAACCATATGCATGCCATGACTGTGGAAAATCCTTCAGCCAGAGTTCTGCCCTCATTGTGCACCAGAGAATTCATACTGGAGAGAAACCATATGAATGCTGTCAGTGTGGGAAAGCCTTCATTCGGAAGAATGACCTTATTAAGCACCAGAGGGTTCATGTTGGAGAAGAGACCTATAAATGTAATCAGTGTGGGATCATCTTCAGCCAGAACTCTCCACGTATAGTATATCAAATAGCTCACACCGGAGAGCAGTTCCTAACATGTAATCAGTGTGGGACAGCACTTGTTAATAGCCCTAATCTTATTAGATACCAGACAAATCGTATTAGAGAAAATGCATATTAATGTAATAAATATGGGATTCTTCACAAAGAGCGATAACTTTATTTAGCATTGGAGAACTCCTTCTGGAGAGGAGCTGCTTTCAGTCTTGTTACTACCCTTTTGTGCACTAGAGAATTGGTCCTGGAGGGGGAAAAACACACAAATTTCACTTTAGTATATCAGATTGTCTTCTTTTCTCAAATTCCCACAAAAGTAGTTGGACTGGGAGCATTCTTCCCCCAGCATTAAATGCTAAAATCTGAGAAGGAATGATTAAGTAAGTGAGTTATTGATAGATCATCCAGCTTTGTTTCCTTCAAAAAAATAAATGAGAGTGCTACCTCAAAAAGGCAAATAAATGAGAGTTGCTGCTGAGGGGAATAAAAAATGGTTATAGTTATTGTAACAAACAATGGAAAATGATATTCCAGTGAATTAAGATGCCATTTTTTACTTGATTGTCCCTCTCTCCTGGGACACTTTGTAGTGTTTAGTCTGTTTTATGTGTCTGATATAAACCACATTTTGGCTAGCAGCAGGGAAAATCTTATCATGTGAGGCAGAGAAGGAAGAACACATTTACTACTATTAGTATCCAGTTTAAATATATTTGCATGTGGGTAACAATTGAAAATGTATCTATGGATAAATGAACAGAATTGACTTGTTAGATAAGGGAATTATGAGTGAGTTTTATAGTCTGTTAGGTGTCACTGTAATAATTATTTGAAGATGCTTTTAAATATTAAAAAAGGATATCCAGTTTCTCCTATTCTACCACGAAGGAAGCTTGAGAACCTCCTGCTAGCAAACTTTCCCATTAATTCTAAGTTATTTGGGGTCATAGAGTTGCGCTCCTTGGGACAGGCTGCTAAAGACTCTTGGGAGGTTAAACACAATGATCCTCTGGATGTTGGGACCTAAAGGAGCATTGGATACTTGAACACGCCAGGGAGAGGCTCCATTTGAGCGGGAGCAGGTACCCGGGCAGTACTTGGAGCAAGTATGCTCCTAAAATAGACACAGCACTGCTTGTATCTTTATGAAGAAAACAGTGGTTAAGAGTATGCGTCTGAGCTGGGCTCCCCAAGTTGAACTCCCACCTCTGTCCTTCCCTTGCTGGGTGAACTTGGGCATGCTGCCTAGCTGCTCTGTACCTAACTAACAGATGTCCTCCTCTGCAAATTAGGGATAACATTACTTACCTCATGGGATCGTGGTGAGGAGCAATCAAGTAAACATATAAAGAGCTTAGAACATGCCTCATGTGTATGAAGTGCTTTATTACATTAGGTGTGATTGTTAACATTACATTATTGCCCCACCCTGGTGTCTGTCATTCACTTTAAACTGCTTGATTGCCAGTAAGAACTGATGGAGCTCTCACTTCCCTTCCAGTCACACATGTCTTCCCTTTTACCTGCATCAGAACTTACCAACCAAGGAAATCACTGACCCATAGTGGGTATATGGATGCATTTCTGAGGATCAGTAAACAGCTTTTAATATTGCATTCAAAAGCATTCTCTTTGTACGGAGGTTTTCCCTTTAAGAGAGAGGAACCTAATCTTCAGATTCTCTGGTAAGTCCATGACCCAAAAAAGATTTAGAAAGAGAATCTGTTTTAATCCTCTGTTTCATTCTGTAAATGGATCTTGTGGGTGTAGGAACTGACCATTATTTGCCACTTTCCAGCAAACAATGTGTATATGTTAGATGCTCACTGACTGTTGAATGATATAAAGATTGTTGAGAATAACAGGACGACGACCTTGCTGTCTCTCCCAGGACTAATCTAGAAATGCTTGTTAGACTCGAGAGACCTGAGAACTGCAGGAGCAAGAGGCCACAGCTCACTCTCTGGCACAGTTGGGATGAAGGCCTCATGTTTTGAGAACCTCTTGGCGCCTCAGTTATGGCTGAGTAACTCCTCAGTGATTACACACCATTCATGTATGTAACGTACTCCTACCAGAAGTGGTTTTCATTACAAGCAGTGGTTCTCTCTGGGCATAAAAGACGAGCCCCGTAGCTGGGCCTCTTAGAATTTCCGATAACGTATGGCTCAGTTTTCCTGAACTGTGTAGTGGAGATACTGCTGGTACCTATGTCCGAGGATAGTTGTGTGGATTAAGTGAGATACTGTGTAAAGTACTTGAAACAGTGCCTGGCACATAGGAAGTACTGTATGTCTTAGCTATTAATAATAATAATATTACTATTATTAACACTCTAAGGAATGTATGTCTGCGGATGATCACTGAAACAGTACTTATAATACTGCAAAGTTTGTAATATTAAAAATGTATAATAGAAAAATTTTTATTTATAGACATTAAGGTTACACAAACAGAAAGCTTGGTAACATAAAAAATGTCCTTGTGATGTACAAAAAATGCATGATAAATAATTGTCAATACCAAGTAAGCTCAGATATGTAAAAATAAATGAATTTCAAAAAACGGAAATGAATCTTGCTCAAAACTCTAAGGAGATTTGTCAAAAGATTAATAGCAATTAACCTACATATTGGGAGAATTGGTGTTTGCTTTTCTTTTTTTTTTTTTTTTTGTACTTTTCAAAGTCTCTTCAGAGAATATATATTACTTTTAGGATCAGGAAAACAATCTTTTCAGTGATGGAATATTTTCTCTTCAAAAGTTCTTGTCTACAAATAAGCTACTGGAACTTTAATAAGGGAATTTGGCAAGGTTGCAGGATACAAGATCAATATACAAAAATTGATATGTACAAGCAGTGAACAATTTGTAAATGAAATCAGAAATACAATCTCACAATGATACAAAAATATGAAATACTTAGATATGTTTAATGAATTGAACAAGATCTGTACAGTGAAGGTATAAAACATTGCTGAAAGAAATTCAAGAACACATAATAGAGAGCATGTAATAAATATTATAAGTGAAGAAATACACCATGGTCAAGGATGGACAAACTCAATATAGTAGGAGCGCAATTCTCCACAAACTAATCTTTAAGTTCAGGGGCATTTGTGTGGAAACTGACAAGCTAATCAGGAAGTTATATGGAAATGCAAATGACCTAGAATCACCAAAGAAATTTTTTTAAAAGGATAAGGTTGTAGGGCCTACAATACCTAATTTCAAAGTTTACTATAGAACTATACTAATAAAATGATGGCATGAGGGTGGATATAGATCAATAAAACAGGACAGAGAGTTCAGAGTTTGACCTACACATATATTGTCAATTAAATTTTGACATGAGAGCCAAAATAACTCAATGTGGGAAAGACATTCTTTTAAATGAAGGGTGGTGTGACAACTGGATATTTGTATGGAAAAAACCCTCCCCTTATCTCACATCACATCCAGAAATAACTCAAAATGCATTGCAAACCTAAATGCAAAAGCTAGAATTTTTCAATATCTGGAAGAAAACATAGGAGAAAATGTTTATGTGTATAAGAAAAGATAGAACAAAATGCATGAATCATAAAAGAAAAATGATAAATTGGACTTAATAAAAATTTTAAAACTTCTGCTCTTTTGAAAAGAACATGAAAAGGCAATCCATAGGCTGGTATATTAACAATATGTATATCTGACAAGGGCTTGTATCCAGAATACAAAGGATGCTCATAACTAACTCATAAATTATACAGTAAGAAGGTGAACAAAAAAATGTGCAAAATGATTTGCCAGATGCTTCACAAAAGAATGTGTATAGATGGCCAGTAAACCCTTGTAAAAATGCTCGACAGCATTAGTCATTACGGAAATGCAAGTCAAAACCAGGAGGATATAGGACTTCACATCTAGTAGCATGACTAAGATAAAAAAGATAAGGCTAGTTATTGAGGATTGGAGAGATTGGAACACTCACACGTTGCTGGTGGGATTATAGAATAGTACAGCCACTTTGGAGGACAGTTTGGCATGTCTTCAAAAGGCTAAACATACAGTTACCACGTGACCCATCAATTCCATTCCTAGGTAAATAACCAAGAGAAGTGAAAATATGTCCATGTAAAAATGTGTGCCTGAATGTTAAGCATTGTGATCGTCTAAAACCAGAACAAACACAAATACAGTAAACTCAACAGATGTCATGTATAATAATTCACAGCATGTGAGTAGATAAAACACATTGTAGTCTAGCCCTACAAGGCTAAATGTTTAAATCTTAAAAGCATTCTAAGAATTCAGACACAAAGGAGTACATACTATATGACTCCCATGTATAAAGTTCTAGAAAGCGTAATAGATAAAGGAGAGAGGTCGGGGGTCACCTGTGGCCCGGGTGGGAGAGCAATTGACTGCAAACAGGACCACAAGGGGACCACTGGGAGTGACCTGTGTCTTGGTTGTGGTAGTGGTTCCATGACTGTCTTCATTTGTTAAACTCATTGAACTGGACACTTTAGGTGGATCCAGGTTGTTGTGTGTAACCTTTAACCTCAATAAAGTTGTTTTTAAAAAAATCGGAAAACAAAGGATTTCTGGGAAACAAGAAAATCTGCAGCTTGAAGCGAACGCTAATAACGAATGTATGGTGGTTTTTATTTTTGTAACGCATCTTCATCATAGACAGCTTGATATGAGATAGCCAATCTGCGAAGCCCCTTAATGCATTAGCTTTTTCTCTGTCTATAGTCCTATGAGGAGCATAATATTATTCCCCTATAGTTAAGGGCACCAGAGTTTGGAAATTTTAAGTAATTTGCCCCAAATCATGTAGCCAGTAAATGGTAGAGCTTCATTTGAAAAACAGCCAGCAGGGACTTCCCTGGTGGCGCAGTGGCTAAGAATCCACCTGCCGATGCAGGGAACACAGGTTTGAGCCCTGGTCCAGGAAGATCCCACATGCCGGGGAGCAACTAAGCCCATGCGCCACAACTACTGAGCCTGCGCTCTAGAGCCCACGAGCCACAACTACTGAGCCTGTGCTCCAGAGCCCGCATGCCACAACTACTGAGCCCATGTGCCACAACTACTGAAGCCCACGTGCCTAGAGCCCGTGCTCTGCAACAAGAGAAGCCACTGCAATGAGAAGCCCGTGCACTGCAACAAAGAGTAGACCCCGCTCACCACAACTAGTGAAAGCCCGCGTGCAGCAACAAAGACCCAATGCAGCCAAACAACAAAAAAAGAAAGAAAAACAACCGGCAGATCTTAAAATAGAAAGATTATCCTGGATTGTTTTGTGGGCCTAATGTCATCACACGAGTCCTTAAAGGTGGAAGAGGGAGACAGAAAAGGAGACCAGAGCGATGCAGCGCGAGGAGGACTCAGCCCTCTGTTGCTGGTTCTGAAGGTGGAAGACGGGGGCCTGAGCCAAGAAATGCTCGTGGCCTCTAAAGTCTGGAAAAGGCAAGGAGAGGGTTTTCCCCAGCAGCCTCCAGAAGGGCATGCAGCCCTGCCAACGCCTTGCTTTAGCCCGGGAAGACCTGTGTCGGACCTTCGACCTTCAGAACTGTAAGATAATAAATGTGTGTGGTTTTAAGCCACCAAGTTTGTTTTGTTACAGCAGCACAGAAAACTAACACGACATGAGAACTTAGCCGATAACACGGATTGGTTAACAAATCAGTGGGCAAAGGGTGCTAACTCTACATTTCAACCTAAAACCTGTAGAGCCTTCCTTTCCACGTTTAATATTTAAACTATTTTTTAAAAATAAATTTATTTTTATTTTTGGCTGCGTTGGGTCTTTGTTGGCGTATGCGGGCTTTCTGTAGCTGCGGGGAGCTGGGGCTATTCTCTGTTGTGGTGTGCGGACTTCTCATTGCGGTGGCTTCTCTTGTTGTGGAGCATGGGCTCTAGGTGCTCAGGCTTCAGTAGTTGTGGCACACGGGTTCAGTAGTTGTGGCTCACGGGCTTAGTTGCTCCACCGTGTGTGGGATCTTCCTAGACCAGGGCTCGAACCCATGTCCCCTGCATTGGCAGGAGGATTCTTAACCACTGCGCCACCAGGGAAGTCCCATATTTAATCTATTTAGAATTTATTTTAAATATATTGTGAGACAGCAGTTTTTTTTCTATTCTTGTATAGCTATCTCATTGTTCCTGCACAATTTTTATTTATTTATTTATTTATTTTTGGCTTGCACAATTTATTGAAAAGTTTGTCTCTTCCACAATATTTTCCTCCAATATTTTATTATGAAAATTTTCAAACATACAGAAAAGTTGAAAGAGTTTTACAGCGAGTACTGATATTCCAAACTCAAGATGTTGCCTACTGTGTTGAACTTGCTCTGATGGTGCAAAAGCCATAGGGGTACCACTATGGGCACTCCCCATGCATCCAGGAAGTGGCATCAAAGACATTTATTAGTCGTCATTATGTTCTTCATCATCACATGCACAGTTAAAAAAAGAAGAGAAAAGGACCAATTTTGCTTCTGGATGTCCTTGATGGAGCAGTGAAAACTAATTTTATTAAATCTTAACTCTTGAGTCCATATCTTTTTAGTATGTATGCAACAAATATTCTGTGCTGCATCCTGAAGTTCCATATCTGTCTCCAGAAAATGCACTTCTGTGATTATGTGAGTTGGGAGCTGAACTTTGTGTGAAAGTAGGACTGAAATGTGAGGCAGACGTGGGTGAGGCAGACACATTCTCAACTGCCAACCAAGTAAGCTGTCACACAAGGGGAACTAGTGCCAGCCAGCATTGTCTGCCAATACAAAGCTAGAGTTTTCAAGTGCAAACAGAATTCTGGAAATCTTGTATCTGCCACTGTGAACTTCACAGATTCCCAGTACTTAAGATCAATAATGATATTGATGAATACGAGCTTTCATGTTGTATAAGGAGAGGTGTCAGTGTTTGGAAGATCTGCATTAGTCCGTGAACCAATATTTTCCAAATGACCAATGCATGTTGTTACAAAATCATGCTTGATAAAACTATGCATTCAAAGTGCAAGACAGACCAATGGGTTTTAATATAATAGAGTAGAAAAAGCTCACCTCTCTGGTTTCAGATCATACACTGAAACTGACCTATTCCTTGTTCAGCTTTTACTACAAAGAATATGCAGTTATCTAAGTATATTAAAATACCCTGTCCTTTTCCAACTATTGATACATACCTATGTGAGGCCAGATTTTTTTATATATTGATACTTACACATAAGAAACACATGCAACAGAGTGAATGCAGAAGCACATATGAGACTGCAGCCGTTTTATATTAAGCCAGACATTTAAAGGATTCCCCCACCCCCATCCCCAAAGGAAGACAATGCCATTCCTAATTTTCCTGGAAAATAAATGTCACTTATACAACGGAACGAATCTTTGCGTTATTAAGGTATAAATTAGGACTTTTACCGTTTGGAACAGCAGGAACCTTAGAACACTTTTAACTGAATTTATACGCCTCCAGCCTTTGCGCTATTGCTGTCAATTATTTTAATCCTCTGTATCACTGAAAGTCTGCGCGCCCGCGCCCAGAGGTGGGGCGGGAAGGGCCTGCGCTTCGCGGCCGCAGCGCCCCCTCCCGGCGGCCCTCGGCTGGAGCCGCCCCGAGCAGGAGGAACGCCCGCAGAGGCTTCCGGGAGTTGTAGTTCGTCCTGCCCTCGGGCTGCCCTGACGCATTTCCTGTGCGTCCCTAGCGGCCGCCGTCGGCTCGGCACCAGCCGGGAGAGTCGTGGTGGGTGGTTTGCGTTCCCTACCCGTCGTGGGGACCTGAGCTGGAGCGTGCCGACCTCGTCTGCCCGAGGGCCGTCGCCGAAGCACCCGGAGCGGGCGCCGCACAGTCGAGAGCGAGGACCAAGCGGCTCTGGCTGCAGATCCGGGAGGTCGGCTGCGGAGCCGGTCTCCCCCGCATCTCCCGCAGGGCTTGGGGGAGCCGCGCGCGCCGAGTCCCTCCCGTGTCAGGGCGGCGGGACCGTGCGGACTAGTCTGGCCTCCCCCGCGCCTGCCCTGAGCCGATCGCGTGTGTGTAGGTGGGGGCGGAGCTGGGGAACCCCGCCGCTGCGTGAGGGAAGGAGGCCTGGCCGTGGGAAGGGAGGGGCGGGTCCTCGGGGGGGGCAGGAGGGTCCCGCGTGGGCGTGGGAGTGGCGGGGAGACTGGTTCCCTCACGGTTCTCTTCTCGCGCAGCCGTCGGGTCCTGCCACCCCCCGCAGGGCGCACAAAACTGGCCGTGAGGATGGCCACCAGGGTCCGGACGGCTGCCGTCTGGGTGAGTCGGGGGGGTTTTCTCTCGTTTATGAAAAGCCCTGAACACCGACGTGTTCTCATCCATCTTTTCCAGGGTCGGAGCTTGCGTGGGGCTTCCAAGCCACTGCGCCTCCTTTAAGATGACGTTGAGCCGTCCAGAAGTGCTTTTTGTCGTCAGACTGTTACTTTGCTCCTTCTTTCAGTCTCTTTTCTGCCAATTCTGTACCTTGAGCCTTGAGTTAAACGAGGGGTCATCGTGCATTTTCCAATTTCTTCGACACATTTTCTTAGTTTTTTCTTTCCGTGTCTAAGATTTTGGGGCCTCACTTGGGAAGTTATACATTTGTCCCTTCGGTTATTCAACAGTTTTGTTTATTGTCTTTTGTTGAGCACCCTGGGGCAGGTGCTAAAAGTGCGAAGGTAGGTCGTTCCTGCTTTGGAAGAGCCATGGTCTGGTGGGAATTGTGGGCAAGAAAATGTATGAGCACAATGGCACGTTAGGGGTCCTCCGAGAGTCGGCCGTGGAAGTGTATGGAGACACACAGCACAGGGCCAGTTTTGGAAGTAAGGACACCCCAAGAAATGCTTCAGGGATTAATAAGGGAGTCTTAAACTGAGATTTGAGAGGTGAATGAGGTGAACAAGGGACTGAAGGTCAGCCTAGGAAAAGGAAGCAACGTGCAAATTTGAGAGGCTTAAAGTGATGTAGTATATTGGTGACCTTGGAACACTTTACAGTTGCTGAAATGTAGAGTTTATGGTTTTGTAGGTGACGGTGGTGGTGGAGTGTGTATTAAGAAATGAGGCCAGAGCCATAGGCAGAGATTGGATCGTAGAGGGCTTTAAGGATCACATGAAAAACTTGGATTTGGGGACTTCCCTGGTGGTCCAGTGGTTAGGACTCGGTGCTTTCACTGCCATGGCCCCGGGTTCAATCCCTGGTCGGGGAACTAAAATCCCGCAAGCTGCACGGCACGGCCAAAAAAAAAAAAAACACTTGGATTTTATCCTCTAGGGAGAATAAAGGGTCAGAAGCAACTGGACTTGGTAACTAGTTGGGTGCTGGTGGTGAGCAAGCCAGCAGAGCCAGGCATAAGTGCTGGAGGTCTGCCCTGTGGGCCTGGGTTGGGAGTGGTACCATTCCCTGAGTTAGGGAAGACCGTCAGAGTTGTTACGGAGGGCTGGGTGGACATTTCCTTTAGATACGGTGGGACCCTGCGGGTGCTGGTGGGCACGTGGGTAGGCATCTGTCTCGAGAGAATGGTCTGGACAGGTATCACTGAGTGGGTATAGCCAGATTAGCTCAAGGAGCACATGTGCCCTGGGAAGAGCACCGAGGGCAGTGCTCGGGGGTGGGCAAGGGAAGGTGGCAGAGGAGGGGCTGGAGGTTGGGCAGCCCCATAGGAATGAGAGAAATGGAGAGACTTGTGTGTCAGAGTCAAAGAAAAAGGAACCTCAAAAATGGTTGCCATGTGAGATGCCCCAGGGAGGTCAAGTACTGTTGCGTCACAGAAGTCCAAATCAGGCTTGGTGGTGATGGTAGTGGTGGGTTTCGCTGTGATGTTTCCAGAGCAGAGTGTGAGTGGGTGTTTGCTGGGCAGGAGAGGAAGGAGTGGGGTGGAGGTAGCAGCAGTCCGTCGGAGAGATGGGAGTGAGGCAGGAAGACAGCCATGTGGGCTGAGTCAGTGTGCCCTGTGGTTGCGGGAAGAGAGTGGTAGCCTGAGGAGAATCCAGGAAGATTCCTTGGTACAAAATCAGTCTAAAAGTCAGTGTGTTTCCTGTTTATAAATTGTATCTGTTTAGAAGTTATAATGAGGGAAATTAGCCTATTTACAAATGGCAGTAAAACAGGTGAAAGTACTAAAAACCTGGGTAATGCAGAGGACTTGTATAAGGAAAACTTTACACCTTCAGTAATACTAGTTAACATTTCTACAGTGTCTCCTCTTCCTAGCCATGGGTCTCAGCACTTTACAGATACAAACTGATCCTCACAGCAGCCTCATAGGAAGGTAGGACTCTTAGCCCTATTTAAAGACAAGGAAAGGTGACAAAGAGAGGCAGGCAGTCTGCCAGGATCATTCAGCAGAAGACAGAATTCAAACCCAGGGGCTCACGCTCCCTGCTCTGCGTTCTTTTATTTATTTATTTATAATTTATTTTTGGCTGCGTTGGGTCTTTGTTGCTGCACATGGGCTTTCTCTAGTTGTGGTGGGGGGGGCTACTCTTCGTGGCGGTGCACGGGCTCTAGGCGTGTGGGCTTCAATAGTTGTGGCACGTGGGCTCAGTACTTGTGGCACACGGGCTCAGTAGTTGTGGATTGAGGGCTCTAGAGCGCAGGCTCAGTAGTTGTGGCACACGGGCTTAGTTGCTCCGCGGCACGTGGGATCTTCCTGGCCCAGGGCTGGAACCCGTGTCCCCTGCATTGGGAGGCAGATTCTTAACCACTGCGCCACCAGGGAAGCCCTCCCTGCTCTGAGTTCTTAACAGGACAACATGTACCGTCCCGGGCGGAAGAGTGAACTGATAGATACAAATCCCAGGCTTTGGTCTTTGAAGTGTTCATCATGTTTCCAGTCTCCAGGTATTTATTGAGCACCCACTCTGTGCCAGGCCCCCTTCCAGGTCCAGGCATGTGGTGGTGAATGAGACTGACAGGATCCATGCTTTGGGGAGTTTGCGCTCTGGTGGAGGAAGGCAGATGCCATGTAAATGATGGAGAAACTACTTACAAGTGAACAGGAAACGTCGTTGTCGTGTTGTACATGGAATTAACATTGGTTGATGTGAAAGGTTGGGTGTTTGGGGAAGGTCCCATGGAGGAGGTGACACTTGCAGGTGTGAGTTACCAGAGTAGCCAGCCTTGGGAAGAGCAGGTGCATGAACATGCAGGGTGGGAACAGCCATCGCCAAGGCCCCGAGGTGGGGGAGGGTCCGTGCCTTTGTAGCAGGGAAGGAAGGCCTGTGTGGCCCGGGTTGGCGGGGAGGGGAGGGGAGCAGACAGACATGGAGGGGGCCAGAGGCCCGATCAGGCTGGGAAGCTGTTGTGTTAGGAAAGGACGTTGGGCTTTTCAGAGTCCCTCTGGCTGCTCAGTGGAGAATGGTCGACTGCAGGGGTGCAGACGAGAGGCGGAGGAGGTGTTGCCTGGAGCAGTGGAAATGGAGAGACTAGACAGAATTGGGGGTGTTTGAAACGTGAGTCCTCTTTTCTGACAACAAGCTTATGCTTTTCACCTAGTCCACTGTCACTTTTTAGAGTGGTTTATCTTGTGTAAGTAGTCCTGTATTTCTTACCATTCTAGCCCAGTGTGAATGCTCAGCGCTCACTGTGCATGGGGTTCTGTGCTGCATCTGGTGCAGGCATTCATCAGTACCTCTTCTTGGGACCAGGTTACACTGCTGGTTTGTGTAGAGCCAGGATTTGAACCTGGGTGGGATGGCCCTACACCCATTTCCCTGGCCAGTGTACTCTACTGCCTCAGGGTATAGCCTGAGAATTTCTCAAGAGACAGAGATTCTAGCCTCCTGCGCCCTAAGAGTAGTTATTGTTTACCCACAACGGGTCACTGAACAGCTGCTCCTTGGACTCAGGAGTAGTTAAGTCCCTTGCCGTGCCCTGGTCGCAGTGGGTGTGTGTAGCCCAGTCCCTGGGGAATGAGAGATGTGGATGACCCCACTCAGGAATGTGCTGAAAGCGGAAAGGATATCATATGCAAGACATTTTAAAACTGTGCAACACAGGGGTCTCTTTCCTGTGGCCGGTGACATCCTCGACCCATGTTCTGGGTGTCCCCTCCTGGGTATCCAGGGAGATACCTAGTAATTAGAAGGCTGTAGACGAGTGTGAATTCAGAGCAGAGGGAGGTGGTCCTCGGCGGTGACGTACGTTGCACTGAGGCCTGTGAGCCCCTAAGTCTCTGTTTCTTTCCTCGGAGGATGCTGGGCACTTACTGGCAGGTTTTCTTTTTTCAGTTTGGCTACTTTCTGCTGTTGACACTTCCCTACCTTAAATGTGTCATTACAAATTCACTTCAGGGAGTCTCCATTCCTAGGGGCTTGGAAAGATTTTCTGTGTCCTCCTCTCCTGTAGGAGTTGACTTGTTTTATTTATTTATAATTAATTTATTTATTTATGGCTGTGTTGGGTCTTCGTTTCTGTGCGTGGGCTTTCTAGTTGTGGCAAGCGGGGGCCACTCTTCATCGCGGTGCGCGGGCCTCTCACTGTCGCGGCCTCTCTTGTTGCGGAGCACAGATGCGCAGGCTCAGTAGTTGTGGCTCACGGGCCCAGTTGCTCCGCAGCATGTGGGATCTTCCCAGACCAGGGCTCGAACCCGTGTCCCCTGCATTGGCAGGCAGATTCTCAACCACTGCGCCACCAGGGAAGCCCTAGTTGACTTATTTTAAACCAGGGAACCTTGTTTCCCTTTTTCTCCAGCGTTGGGCAGGGCCTCTGCTCCCATGGACCACTGCCAAACACCGTCACCACGGTCACCACCACGACATGCTAATAGCATAGTTTGCAGTGCAGTGAGTTGGGGCTTCAAGACTGATGCAAGGGGGTGTGGGAGAGAGAAGGGAATTCTGCCTGACGGGGCCTTTCTGAGGAAGGTTGGCCCCTGCTCACGTGCATACCAGGCTGGGTGTCTTCAGCTGCGCCCAGACTGACCCTCTTGGCTAATTAAAGGTTAAAATGATAATTCCCGGTTTTTTTTTAAATATAAATTTTTATTTATTTTATTTATTTATTTTTGGCTGTGTTGGGTCTTCGTTGCTGTGCGCGGGCTTTCTCTAGTTGTGGCGAGCGGGGGCTACTCTTCGTTGAGGTGGGCGGGCTTCTCACTGCGGTGGCTTCTTGTTGCAGAGCATGGGCTCTAGGCATGCGGGCTTCAGTAGTTGTGGCTCGTGGGCTCAGTAGTTGTGGCGCACGGGCTTAGTTGCTCCGCGGCATGTGGGATACTCCCAGACCAGGGATTGAACCCGTGTCCCCTGCACTGGCAGGCAGATTCTTAACCACGGCACTAC